TGAGAAATGATGTACAAATGTGCTTTACACAATTGATGTGTGTATGGATTGGGATAACAGTTGTATGAGCCCCTAATAAAATGTTAAAAAAGAAAAAAATTTTTAAAAAAAAGAATTAAGGTTGCAGATGGACATTGTGCCTCGACTCAAGTACTCCCTTAACACAAGAACCCTTTGTTCTAACAATCCACCATTCTGTGATGCTCACCTTCCTGACATGATCACTGAAGACAAAATGGGTGCATAAGCAAATGTGGTGAAGAAAGCTGATGGTGTCCAGCTATCAAAAGATACAGCGTCTTGGGTCTTAAAGGCTTGAAGATAAACAAGCAACCATCTTGCTGAGAAGCAACAAAGACCACATGGAAGAAGCATACCAGCCTATGTGATCATGAGGTTTCGATGGGATCAGGTATCAGGTTCTAAGACCAAGAACAAAACCATACCCAAGGTGAAGGGGGAGCGGAGACATGGATTGGAGACCCAATGCCCATTTGTAGACAATTGGACATCCCCTCACAGAGGGGTCAAAGGGAAGATATGAGCCAGTCAGGGTAACAATATACCACCGATGAAAAACACAACTTTCCTCTAGTTCTTTGGTGCTTCCTTCCCCCCACTATTATGACCTCAATTCTACCTTACAAACTGGATCAGACCAGAGCATGCACACTGCTACAAATAAGAGCCTGCAACACAGGGAATCCAGGATAAACCTTTCAGGGCCAACAATGATAGTAGAGATACCAGGAAGATTAGGGGAGAGTGGGAGGAGAAAGGGGGAATTAATCACAAGGATCAAACTAGAACCTCCTCCCAGGGGCACAAATAACAGAAAAGTGGGTGAGGGGTGACAGAGGATGATATAATATATGGAAATAAAAATCTATAACTTATCTAGGGTTTGTGAGGGAGGGTGGGCAGGGGAGGGAGGGGGAAGAAATGGGGAACTGATATCAGGGGCTCAAGTGGGAAGAAAATGCTTTGAAAATGATGATGGCAGCATATGTGCAAATGTGCTTGACACACTGGATGAATATATAGATTGTGATAAAAGATGTAAGAGCCCCCAATAAAAATATTTTGAAAAACAAAACAACAAAAATTCCTGACTCGGCCTCAACCAAGTTTCAAGTAGTGAATCTGTAAATTTCCACAAGGAACATCAAACCTCACTGCTAAGTTGTTGCCTCCATAAAAATCAGGGGCTGGGGAAACATCAAATATAGTCTCACATAAATATCTAATACAGCTATACAACTTGGCTTGTAAATGTTCCTAATATACCAACCAGCAATACTCTGAGCACAAAGCTAACAGTATAATTAAAAGAACCACCAAAATACATGACTATTTTAATGATCATTCTTCTCCTATACAGATATCAAAACAATAGCTGTGTATTTCCCACCCATGTATCACCACCACCACCACCACCACACACACACACACACACACACCTTAAAATAAAACAAAGTAGAAATGGGGCCATTTTTCTAATCTTCATCTTCCATTCTTTGCCTTAAATAGGGTGCATACGGGCAGCCCAGTTGCTAGGTTGTTTAAGTTCTTGTTTTCTAGAACAACAAACCACCACTCGTCTTTCAGTTTGTTGTATGGTGGTGGCTTGTGTATTGCTGTGATTCAGGAAATATGCTACCTGTATTTCAAATGCCAGCCGGGTAACTCATAGTGAACAGGTTTTAGTGGAGTTTCCAGACTAAGACCAGAGTATGAAGAAGGAATTGGCTGTCCAATTCAGAGGGATGAGCCACTGTGTGTTCAACAAGCTTCTGAGTGATGTCACTGTTACTGCTCCGCAGCCACACTTTGAGTAGCAAGAGTTTAAAGAATGCTTCCACCTAGGAATAACCTCGATCAGTCAGATGTTCATGCTCAAAATATACAATACCCCCACCCACCCAGCTCCCGAACTTTTACAAAGGGAGAGAATATTCCAGAGCCAAAACAAGGTATCCATCTCCCCGTTCAGTGACTTTTACCATTTGGTTGCAAATCCAGAGGAAGACCTTAATAAAGAGCAACTGGCCAGAATGTCTTTGTGCTGACAGTTAATTGGGGCTTGACTGATTGGAGCTTGCATGGACACAAAATGTGCAGATCCTCCAGCCTTTTGTAATCAAAGAGCTAATTTAAAACAAATACTTAAATTTAAAAAAGTTGAAGACTCATGAATAAGTGACACTTAACAAATCTTTATAAGTAAACCATCTGGGATTAATAATTTTCATTTCCCACCACTAAAATAAATAGCTTGTGTACTAAAGAAGATAATTCTCCTGAAGCATGACACAGCAAGTCCAACAAACAGTGAATTGTGTTAGTGAGGAAACTACCAATATTCCGTAGTTTATGAGCAGGACTAAATCTTCTTAAATTTGTCCGGAAGCTGGGGAAGGGCTCCGGGAAAAAAACAGTTGGTAAATGGAAAAAGAGCACTAGGCCACTCCCCTTAAGAAAACCAATAACCCCCCACAATGTTGTTTAGTTTTTTAATCATGTCTTTAGTCCAACCTTTAGTGACCTTGAGTCCAGCTACCCCCCACAAATATCCAACCAACTATCATAAAAATGAAATTGGCAACATGTCCAGTTTGCTCTACTCCATGTCTACCCTTGGATGCTTTTCAAGCCAGTAGAGGTAAAATTCATGCTGGAAGGAGCAAGAGTAAAAGGGGAATTGGTTCTTTTCACTCAGCTATCTTTCAGGACAGCTCGAGCATCTTTCCACAAGGTTCCAGTAGGCCGTCTCAGTGCTTGCCTGGGTTCTTCAGCCCCATCACGGTGAAGGTAGCAGCCGTCAGCTTCTCATACACAAGGAACATGAGCGCAGCAGTGAGAACCGTCTGCAGCAGTTTGGCTTCCAGGCCTTTATAGAGTCCCATGATGCCAAAGCGCCTACAAGGAAAGGTTGGAAAAGAAATGAAAGCTTTTCTTTATAAAAGTCAACTCTTGTGTTAGAGAAAGATGCTATTTTGTAAAAGTTTATTCTGAGGATTAGAACAAGAATGCTGGTTTTGGGCTTCAGCAGACTTCCCACCCACCTCTATTTTACACAATCCAATATATCCAATCACATACAATTCTGTTGTTTGATCCCATCAAGTAGGGTTATACAGTCATCAATGCTTTCAGCTACCCATTCCACCCCCTTATCCCCTCCCTCTCTTCCCATTCCCTCAAGGACACATTACTCCTATTACTGTTTCCAGTGGGTTATCTATCTTGACTTTCATGTACCAAATTATCTTAAATACACAAATGAACAGATGTAAATCTAACATGATTAATGAAGTAAAACAAATAAAAGTCATAATAGTAAGGAGAGGAAATATTTTAAATCATTTTATTAGGGGCTCATACAATTCTTATCACAATCCATACATATATCCACTGTGTCAAGCACATATGTACATTTGTTGCCATCATCATTCTGAAAACATTTGCCTTCTACTTGAGCCCTTAATATCAGCTCATTTCCCCCCCTTCCCACTCCCCCCTCCCTCATGAACCCTTCATAATTCATAAATTATTATTTTGTCATATCTTACACTGTCCGACATCTCCCCTCGTCCACTTCTCTGCTG